GCGTCAGAGTCACGGGTGCGCCGGTTGCAGTGAGGGAATTCGCCATGGTTCGGAACTCCGGGCGTAGGCCGCGAAGAACATAGAGAATCTGTTCTTCATTCGACAGAGGCCTGCCAGCAAGCGAGAGGGACTCGGCAATCACCTTGCAACGGCCTAGATAGTCGGCCGGAGAACCTGGGCCTTGACGGAGGGTTTGAAACTGCCCCAGCAAACTCAGGCACCTCGCTCTCGTCGTGGAAGCTAGTGTAGACGCAAGGGAATCCCACACCTCACGGGAGGTGTCTCGTCCAACGGCTAAATGCATCACCTCGTCGGAAAGGGACGAGATGATCGTGGATAGATAGCTTGATCCTATTGTATCCACGCTTCATAATCAGGGTTTGGGGCGGTTGTTGTCGTGGTCACGGCGGAGCTGCCGGATTCCGGAGCAATGGTGACGGTAGCGGCCGGACATGGCTTGGAGCCATCAACGAAACCGAGTAGTCCCTGCCCACGCAAGAATGGAACCACCTGGGTGCGCCAAAACAAGTAATTCCGCATGGTGAGCCGAGTAGAAACGAAATGATGCGCCGCCGTGAGAGTATTGACCGACGGCGGAGCACCGGCAGGGACGGTGGTGATGGTCCGTTCTGAGGAGTTAGTCGACATCTCAATTGTCGGGATTGTTTGAAAGAAAACGGGCTAACCTATCGCAACTGATACCAGATGAAATAACAATAATCTGAATTGATAGAACTGAATTACAGAGAGAGTCTAAACTATACTAAAGTCTACACATTATTCTCCTATCATGTAGGCTAGACAATTAGACTCAATCTCAACCACTAGAAATACAATCATATAGTATAAGATAAAGCAACAATTAATTATATTACTAACAAGGATAATGCTATGGGTTTTGGATGGGTCTTACGTGATGATGTTGGAAATTTTCTGGCTGCCAAGAATATAAGAATGCCCGGGTTATGTGCGGTTAGGGAAGCAGAGGTGCTATCTATTCGGGAGGCATTGAGTTGGCTAAGGGGCACAGGCCTGGGTGCGGTGGATGTGGAAACAGATTGTCAGGTTGTTTTTAATGCAATTTCTTCAGCTTCTTTTATTTCAGTTTTTGGTTATTTAGTAGATGATGTAAAGAATTTGGCATCTGAGATTGATGATGTGAAATTCTGTCATGTTAAGGGATCTGCGAATTGTGCTGCCCACACTGTTGCTAGGGAGGCCTTTTCTGTGTCAGGTTGCGGTGAGTGGTTAGATGAACCACCTGCCTATCTTGATAACATTCTTCATTCCGATTTAATGAATTAAGTTATTCTTTTCAAAAAAAATAAAATATTTCTACCATGTCCAATTATTTTAATTAACATTTCAAATAATTTAACTCTTTTGATTTATTTATATATCAGTTTGGTGGTTATATATAATATTTAAATATAATCATATGTAGGAGAAATATAATTACATTTTTGGTTATAGATCAGAGTTATAAGTACGTACTTTGTCCGTAAATTATACGCATATCCATCTTTGACCTCTCAATTTTGACTAACGTGACGTTTTTAGTCCATCATAGAATGAAGCTTCTAACAATGTCAAGGACAGTACACTAAGAATGCATTTGGATTTGGTCCAAACATTAGAATCCGAATGTTAATACGAATCAAATATTTTATTATTTAATAATGGTAATGAGTTGAAGTAGGATGAGTCTTTGTGTTTGGTAATAAATAGAAATTAAAATTAAAATGGTGTTATATGTTGGAATTTTTAGCATAAAATGGTAATTTATGAGTGACTATTTTGTGGTACAAATATATGTGGAATCCACTTCCAATTTGGATTGAATCAAAGTGGATTCGGGTTCTTTGCAGTGAGACGGAAAAATTGATATACCGTACGTTCAAAATGAATAATAGATGAATGAGAAATTGATTCTCAAAGTGAACTTAGGAGAGAAGTCAAAAATAGTGTCAATTTGATTAGCGTTCAAAATAATGCTTAATCAAGCACTTTGGTGCTTTATTTACGAAAGGTGGAGTGTTAAGCTTTTTTTTTTTTTTCTTGAATAATAGATGAATGAGAAATTGATTCTCAAAGTGAACTTAGGAGAGAAGTCAAAAATAGTGCCAATTTGATTAGCATTCAAAATAATGCTAAATCAAGTGTTACAAAAAGCCAATAACGACTCCATTAAAGCTTGATCTCACAACCTCTCATATTAAAGTTCAACCCAAATGCCAACTGAACACAAGGTGTTTAGCTTTAAACTTAAGTATTAAGCTAATTAAATGCTTTGAAAGCTTTTGAGCTAAGTTTTGTGCACCTTAATTACGTAGATAGCACCGAATGGTGTAAGTGGTGGCAGCACCGAAAGGTGCTTAAGCTTATAGCTCCATCGAATGGTGCTCTGACCATTCGGTAAGTTTCGAAATGTTAACCTTCCGCATGTATGAACTTCTCGGCCAATTAGGTATTTTTAAAACAAGTTATTAGTGGTTGGTACGAATTAATTGTATATTAATTTCCTAACTGTTAATATTATTTTAATAATAAGTATGACCGCTTCAAACGATATAATCCGATTATTAAATTGAATTTATGTGTCATTCATTAATGCTATTAACTCCTCTTTCTTCTATAAAAACGAGTTGTTGGCAGATTGTTTTGGCGGCTAGTTCAACTCTCGAAATCTTTGATTTTCTCTCTACTCTCAATTCTTAGACTACGAGAAAAATTCTACCAATAATTCCGCAAATTTGTACGGAGTGCTCAACTTTGTTCCAGTTTTCTGGACATTAGATTTGGGTGCTCAAACACTAAAGTTGTAATCCATTTTATCCTCGGAGACTAACGCTACAACGCTTCTAGCACCCTCGAGAGGTAGCAAATCAGTTTTATGGAAAGTGTGAGTATCACACGACTCGGATTTCTTTTCCATCTTCTTCTTTCTTGTGTTGGGTTAAAATCTCAGATTTTGGAAACCCTTTCTCATTTTAAGAGCAAAGACGAAGTCGGCGATAAATTCATTCTTTATAAGAATGAAGTTGAAAACCAACTTAATCGGAAGATTAGGAAGGTTAGAAGGGATAGAGGTGGTGAGTATGAAGGACCTATTGGTGACTTCTGTGCGAGTGTAGGTATAATACACGAGCGTACAACACCTTACGCACCTCAATCGAACAGCGTTGCAGAATGGAATAATCGCATATTGAAAGAGATGATGAATATAATGTTGATAAATTCGAGCCTACCTCAAAGTATATATGTGGGGTGAGGCGGTTTTGACAAGCAATTAGCTTTTAAATAAGGTTCCCCACAAGAATCTCGATAAGATTCCTTATGAGTTGTGGAACGGTAGGAAACCTTCATACCAGTACCTAAAAGTGTGGGGTGTCTTGCCAAAGTATTGGTGCCAACATCTAAGAAAATAATGATAGGTCCTAAAACGATGAACTATATCTTTATTGGTTATGCACATAACAGTAGTTCGTATCGATTCTTAGTACACGAGTCCCATAATCCGGATGTACATAGGAACATGATAATTGAATCGAGGAATGCATTGTTCTTTGAAGATATATTTCTGTGTAGGTCCAGTGAGGGACCTAGTATGTCGAAACGAACATTCGACGAGGTTGTGGATAACGATAATGGAGTTTCTGAAAAAGAACCAGAGCTCGAAGCTAGACATAGCAAGCGAGTTAGGATTGAAAAATCTTGTGGTCCATATTTTCTTACGTATATGTTAGAGTGCGATGCGCATATTTTAACTTGTTTACTAGAAAATGAAATGGATTTTCTGACATGCTTGTTAGAAAATGAGCCTAAAACATATGCAGAAGCTGTGACTCCTACGGAAGGACGAATGTAGAAAGAGGCTATAAAAAGTGAAGTAGATTCTATCCTACAGAATCACACTTGGGAACTTGTTGATCTTCCTCAGGGTAGTAAGCCTTGGGGTCCAAATGGGTCTTTAGAAGGAAGATGAAACCTGATGGTTCCATTGAGAAGTATAAGGCTAGGCTTGTAATTAAAGGTTATAGGCAACGCGAGGGCCTTGATTACATCGATACGTATTCTCCCGTGACGAGAATAAATTCCATAAGGACGATACTTGTCATAGCCGTGTTGCAAAATTTGGAAGTTCATCAAATGGATGTGAAAATAGCTTTCTTGAATAAATAGTTAGATGAACAAATCTATATGCAACAACCTGAGGGTTTTGTGGTTCCAGACCAAGAGAAGAAAGTCTGTAAATTGGTTAAATCATTATATGGTTTAAAACAAGCGCTTAAGTAGTGACACGAGAAGTTTGACCATGCGATGCTAACCAATGAGTTTATTATAAATGAAAATGACATGTGTGTCTACGTTAAGGAAATAGTAGACGGTTATGTCATTCTTTGTTTATATGTGGATGGTATAATCATCGTGAGTAGTAACGATCAAACAATCAAATATACCATGGACATGTTAAATTTGAGATTTAACATGAAGGATATGTGTTTGGTGGATTTAATCATCTTGATTAAAATCGTGAGGAGACCTGATGGTATCGTGTTAAGTGAATCACATTGTGTTGATAAAATCATTGCAAAGTTTAACAAGGATGATTATCAAGTGGCTAGGACACCGTTAGATACAGTGGCGGATCTAGAAAATTACATGAGTGTGGGCGTACTTAAAATGATTTTAGAATTGTTAATGCCAAAATATCAAACATCTATAATACGGTTCAAATACATTAATAAATTAAAATAAAATGTTTATGATAGACTATATGATATTTAGGAATGAAGCCAAAACTTAGGGTGAAATTTTAAAACACTTTGAAATATTATAAAAATATTTATAGCAAAATATTGTGGACTACATTAACTAAATGATTCACAAAAAGGGTGGGTAGAACTAAAATAAAGAAAAGAAGTTAAAATATACTAAAGTATTATAGGTGGGATTTGAACTCATACCATTTCATATATGGTAACCAAAGTTTAACCAACTAAGCTGTTAAATTACTTGGTTATCTTTACATATAAATATATATTAATGGGAAGATGTGAGTGGGGGAAGCTGACCCCACAGCCCCCATTCTGGCTCCGCCACTGGTTAGATACTAACGTACATCTGTCCAAAAAATCGCGAAAAGTGTATCTCTCAAGTAACTGGATATCAGATATTAAGGACTCTAAGTCCATGAGTGGCTACATGTTTACGTTAGCCGGTGCAACAGTTTCTTGGAAATCCTCGAAACAAACTATAATAGCCAGATCTATGATGGAATCTGATCTAATAACCTTAGACAAATATTGCGAAGAGACTGAATAGCTATGCCATTTTGTTGAGGATATTTCTTGTTGGAAATATGGAATAAACATCTACCTCCGATTTGTGTGCATTGTGATAGTCAAGCCGCAATTGGAAGGGTACATAGTAGTATGTATAATGGTAAGTCTAGACATATACGAGTAGGCATAATACAATTAAGCAACTTCTCACAATAGGTGTTATCTCTGTTGACTACGTAAGGTCAAAGGATAATGTAGCGGATCCGATAACCAAAGGATTGAGCAAAGAGGTTGTTGAAAAGTTGGCACGAGGAATGGGTTTAAAGCCCTTGGAATAAAAGTTCTATAGTGGACACTCAACCTAACTTTCACCTAGGTTCGATGGGACAACTAAATTATGGAACGAAGCGTGTCACTGTGGGGATCCTGGACTCCCTACCATTCCTCGTTAGAACACTGACTCCTCATGAGGCTATCATGTTGATGCTTTAATGATTCCAATGTCGATTGACATGTGTGAGTATGCAGGATTCTCGGAAAAGAATCCCCTATGTGAGAGAGAAGTGGGGTCGCTTCAAAGGAAAATTTATTGGGCTCAATACTTTAGAAATTCTCGCAGAACCAAGAAGGTGACCCATGACCAAAACGGGCACACCCATGAGAACAGAACAAAGTTTGGAAGGTTCCTATGTGGGATATGTCATCGTCTACACAAACGGCAGTCAATTCAAAGACATCAAGTTCTACCGTACAGCCAGTAGAGTAAACATATCTTCACAAGGCAAGGTTCAAAGGGTTACACCTATCTATGTTATGCAGGGATCGATTGTTGAGCACGTTCACGTCGTTTTTCCATGTCCCGAAAATCAATTTCATTCATGTGGGGAATTATTGGAATTTCTAGCATAAAATGGCAATTTATGAGAGGCTATTTTGTGGTACAAATATATGTGAGGTCCACTTCTGATTTGGGTCGAATCAAAGTGGATTCGGGTTCTTCGCAGTGAGACGAAGAAATTGATATATTGTATGCTCAAAATGAATAATAGGTGAATGAGAAATTGATTATCAAAGTGAACCTATGAGAGAAGTCAAAAATAGTGCTACTTTCATTAGCATTCACGAATGGTAGATTAAGCATTCAAAATAATGCTTAATCAAGCACTTTGGTGCTTTAATTACAAAGGTGGAGGTTTAAGCTTAAGTTGTTAAGCAAATTAAAAGCTTTGAAAGCTTTTGTGCACCTTAATTACATAGATAGCACCGAATGGTGCTAAGTGGTGTCAGCACCGAAAGGTGCTTAAGCTTAGTTGCACCTTGCCTTGGCAGCGGAATCTTATTTCTCAATCAAGAGGCTATAGCCAGGAAGATCTGGAGAATCCTCTGTTCCTAAACACAAACAACAACACCAATCTTGTTCTCGTCAGTCCTCCTCTCTTAGGCAGTGCGAATTACAACTCGTGGTACATTTCGATGAAAATAGCTGTAGAAGTCAAAAATAAATGGGGCATTATCATAGGAAGCGTTGCTGCTCCGGCAAGAGAGAATGCACAGTATGCTTCCTGGAGGCGTTGCAATCTTATGGTGTGTGCCTGGATCTTTAAATCGGTACACATCTCCATCGCACAGAGCATCATGCACTTAGATAGAGCCAAGGAAGTTTGGGAAGACTTGGAATGGAGGTTCGCACAATGCGACGCACAGAAGATTTCGGCATTACAGAACGAGATCTTCAACCTACAACAAGGGAATCGGACGGTAAATGACTACTATACAAAATGTCACACTCTTTGGGAAGAGATGAATGCGCTTATACCTTTCCCTATTTGTAAATGGAATCCGAAGTGTTCATGCAATTTGGTTGACGAAATACGCAAGGAGCGAGATACAGACCAAGTTATACGGTTCCTGCAAGGTCTTGGAGATGATTACAATAGCCTGAAATCCAACGTCTTAGTCCTAGATCCCCTTCCTGAAGTCTATAAGGTATTTGTGATGGCAGAAAAGTTGGAGAGACAAATTACTCTCACAAACATGAACCTGAACAGCATTGATTTAAGCCAAGAGAACGCAGTGCAACATGAGCAAGGGTTTATGAATGAGATAGTAGCAGCTGTGAATTCCTACAATGCTAAGCGTAATGCAAGCACTAACAGAGGAGCAAACGTACATTCTGCGGGATGAGTGGACACGCAATAGAGAAATGCTTCAAGAAGCATGGTTATCCGCCGGGATGGATTCCGGGATATAAATCGAAAGGGAAGCAGACTGCTGCTATGAGTTCTTCCTCTAGCACTGTGGAATCCTCAGCAGCAACATCCGATCAGTTGGAGAGGTTGATCTCTTTCCTCCAAGCTCAGGTCGACCAGTCTTATAATCAGAAAAGCATGGCTGCTGTCTCACTAATTCCCAAATTCAATGAAGTTGACTCTGGAACTGAAGGCAAGTACTCTTCCACTTTTGTTAATTATGTTATCCTATCCCATACTTCTTGGATATTAGATTCTGGAGCCACAGACCATATAGTCTGTTCTATGGATTTCTTTCATGATTATCACACTACTCATAATACTGAAGTGAATCTACCCACTGGAGAGTCGATCAAAGTCAGTCACATGGGGAATATTAAACTCAATGAACAATTATGGTTAAAGGATGCTCTTTATATTCCAACCTTCATATTCAATTTGATATCTGTGAGTAAGCTTTTGCAAGATACATGTTGTAAACTTGTTTTCTCATCTGGGCAATGCTTGATTCAGGACACTCTTGGGATGACAGTTGGTTTGGCTAAACATGTGAATAGTCTATACTTACTGCTGGACTCACCAAAGATGCATGAAGTAGTTCATAGGAGTGTTGCAGCAAATTGTAATAATGTTGGAATTTGGCATCAAAGGTTAGGCCACTTTCCAATTAATAAACTGCCATTTTGAGTGGTATTAAAACTTCAGTCATTAAAAATTTTGCTTGTGATGCATGTCATTTTTCCAAACACAAAAGATCTCCTTTACCGTTAAGTGTCACAACCTCGAAGAAATGTTTTGATTTGATACATGCAGATATATGGGGGCCTTCCTCGGTTTGTACGTTACAAGGAGAGAATTACTTCCTAACATTAGTTGACGACCACTCCCGTTTCACTTGGCTTCATCTAATGAAGAGGAAGGCTGAAGTTAGACAACACATCATGAAGTTTCATGCTATGGTTTTCACTCAGTTTGGGGCTTTGATTAAAGTAATCCGAACTGACAATGGAGCAGAGTTTAACATGGAGGATTTCTATGCTGAAAAAGGGATCATCCATCAGAAATCGTGTTATCATCCATCAAAAAGGGCCATTCGATTTCAAGCTTCACTGCCTACTGATTTTTGGGGACAATGTGTTATGCATGCCGTATTCCTAATCAACAGATTGCCCTCTCCGGTTATTGAGCTCTCAACCCCTTATTTTAGGCTATATGGTAAGGGCCCTGACTTATTGAGCCTAAGAGTCTTTGGTTGCCTTTGCTATGCTTCAAATTTATCAAAATCTAAACACAAAATGGCACAAAGGAGCAAGAAATGTATTTTTATTGGGATACCTGCTCATACAAAAGGATTTCTGCTGTATGATTTGCATGAGAAAAGTACCTTCATTTCCAGAGATGTGAGTTTTTACGAACTACATTTTCCTTTCTCCAAAGATGGGAAAATATCATATAGCAGTGGGGCACAACTTGTTAATCCTTCACTCCCAACAATACCCATCGACACTCCTATGGTCTATGAACCTTCTGCAATGCATGACACAGTGTTTAAAGATGCTCCTAGTCCAGTAGAAGAGAGGAATTCTCCTTCTTTCCACCAAGCAACCAGTGGTGAAACATCTACAAATAATCATATTATTCATGAAGAAGAATCTGAACATCATGACCATATTGTGCAAGCACCAGAGGATCATCTAGAATCCAGTGGTGACTGTGGAAAGAATGAGCAGCCTAGACGTTCAACTAGGCAGAGACAAATTCCTAACCGGCTTCAAGACTACTACTGCGATGCCATAATTAGCAGAGGCTCATCCCCCCATCATCTCTCAAAGGTAATCACCTTTGACAATCTAAACCCCTATCATAAAGTTTTCTCTTTGGCAGTAACATCTATTGAAGAACCAAAGACGTATAATCAAGCTGTTAAAAGCAGCCACTGGAAAGAAGCTATGAATGCTGAGATACGAGCTCTACAAGACAACAAAACTTGGGAGATAACTGATTTGCCTCCGGGGAAAACACCCATAGACTGCAAATGGGTGTATAAGGTCAAGTTGAAGGCCGACGGTTCGATAAAGAGGTACAAAGTGTGTCTTGTAGGGAAAGGGTACACGCAGCAACTAAGAATTGATTATATTGAAACTTTTTCTCCGGTTGCTAGAATTACCACAATCAGAACCTTTCTAGCTGTGGCATCCTCTCAAGCTTGGAACATTCATCAACTAGACATCAACAATGCGTTTCTACATGGTGACTTAACAGAAGAAGTATACATGTTATTGCCTCCCGGTTTTCAGACTGAGAAACCAAACCAAGTATGCAGATTGCTTCGTTCCCTCTATGGCCTCAAGCAGGCGAGCAGACAGTGGAACTCCAAGCTCAGTACAGCTTTGTCTAGCATGAGGTATAAGCAGTCCAAGGCAGATCCATCCTTGTTTACCAAAGGAAAAGATAACAAATTCATTGTTGCCCTTGTCTACGTTGATGATATATTAGTCACTAGTCCAGACTTACAGTTGATTGATGATCTCAAACAATTCCTTGATGATACTTTCAAAATTAAGGACTTGGAGAGCTAGGCTACTTCTTAGGAATTGAAGCAAAAAGGGATGCCTCGGGTCTGAATTTGTGCCAAAGAAAGTACGCCCTAGACATCCTCTCTGAAGCAGGCTTCTTTGAGTGCAAGCCAGCCAACACGCCAATGGTGCCTGGCTATCATTTGCACCATGATGATGGTAAGCTACTCAGTGATGTTAGCAGTTACAGGAGGCTTATTGGCCGTCTCTTATACCTCACAGCCACTAGGCCAGACATCACATATGCCGTACATCAACTGAGCCAATTTATTGATGCTCCAACCGACAAGCACTTGAGTGCTGCTCACAGAGTCCTTCGGTATATCAAAAGTGCACCGGGGCAGGGACTGTTCTATGCAAAAGGAGATAACTTGTAGCTCAATGTCTTCTCGGACTCTGATTGGGCTTCATGCATTGAAACACGATGCTCTATAACAGGTTACTGCATCTTTCTTGGTTATGCTCTAATCTCTTAGAAATCAAAGAAGCAAGTGACAATCTCACGTTCATCCTCCGAGGCAGAATACAGAGCACTTGCCTCTACTATTTGTGAAGTGCAATGGATCACATATTTGCTGTCAGACCTACAAATAAATATGCAAAGAGCAGCAGCCGTATTTTGCGATAATAAATCAGCAGTAGCTATGATAGAGAATCAAGTTTTTCACGAAAGGACGAAGCACATCGAGATAGATTGTCACTTGGTGCGGGAGAAAGTATCCAACGGCTTGATCAAGCTCCTACCTATTTCATCTTCAAACCAAGTTGCAGACGGCTTCACGAAACCTCTTCCCGTTACTCCGTTCCAGTTCTTCCATTCTAAGTTGGGCATTCAGGATCTGCATGCGTCAACTTATGGGCGGGGGGGGGTGTTGGAGGACGAAGCTAAGAGGGTCATTAAGGACAAAACCAAAAGGGGCACTAAAGTCCTTTCACCATTGTATTCTGTTTCAACTGATCCTCTCCCATGCACTTTCTGTATATAACTTTAGCTTTTTCCCTCCATGTGTAACAGACTCAAAACAGATGAAACAAGCTACTGCCATTTTCCTTTTCACGTTCAGTTTCTTCCCCTTCCATCAGCTGGACTTTAGGTTTGAGTACGTGCTCAAACACTAAAGTTGTAATCCGTTTTATCCTTAGAGATTGACGTTATAACGCTCCTACCACCCTCGGGAGGTAGCGAATCGATTTTAAAGAAAGTGTGAGTATCACATGACTTGATTTCTTCTCCGTTTTCTTCTTTCTTGTATTGGGTTAAAATCTCAGATTTCGAAAACCCTTTATTTTATAGAAATAAATTCTTGGTTACATAACAATTTTTGGGTGGGATTAATTTTTCAAATTAAATCTCTTTGTTCTAGTTTCATACTAGTTTTTGTTCGCATTAGTTTTCCTTTAAAATAAATCCAATCCTTACTTTCGTGGATATATATTTTCGTGTATATATATATATATATATATATATATATATATATATATATTATTTCTGTTTTCGTACCAACATTATACTTCAAAGCACTAGTCAAAAAGGCTTTCAATTGGCAATTGCATAATGACTCTATGTGAAATAATTGCAAGACCGAATCATACTATTTTTAATTGCAAAATGGCAGCATTATATTGAATGTTAGTTAGAACTTTTTAAAACATGTAACACTAATTGCGAGTAATATGGAATTAAATATTAGAGGAAGATAATGATAACATGAGACGAAATTGTTAAATGTTAAGTGGGAATCTATCAGCTCAAAACTGTCTTTTCTTTTCTCTGTTTTGTGTTTATTGAAGGCAGCTCCAACTAGATTCAAACTAGAAACAACTAATCAGTTTAATGTTTAAAAAATCCGCTTTAAGAAAAATTAAATAGGGATTGTAGATCAGGTTCATGAATACATGCAAGTGAATAGGGGTGAGCTTGGAAAGAGGAAAATAATTTTTAAAAAATAATTAATTTTTTTAAAAATATTTTCGTTTGTTAGTGTTTAAACATTAAACTGATTAGTTTGGTCAAGACATTAGACATGGATGACTGAGGTCAAGACATTAGACATGGACGAGTGAGCACTCAGCCAGTAGCTCATAACGATGGTAAGTCTTAGATCCCAAGTAAATTAACTTATATTGACACATACGCGTGTTTTGAGATTCGTGAAAGGTTTAAAATAAAAATAAAAATAAAAAAGGTTTAAACATTAAACTAATTAGTGTGGTCACCATTTTGGTCCCTAGGAGGATTTAATTGACAAAATTTTAAAAAATTCACACGATCAAATTGGTTAAAATTGAAAACTAGGGACTACATTGACAGTTGAAAAAATAATTGAGGGGCCAAAATGTTGATTTTCCCTAGGCCCCG